AAATGGGAAAAGTGTCCTCGGTGAGGATAAAAAAAAAGCTAAATCTCTCTGTGTAAATAAAAACATATTTATGTTTTGGTATGTTTTACTTTTAATCTATTTTTTTAATTCATAAATTTGTAGTACTACAAAGTTATAATCGTGTACTCTATAGTACTTTAACCTTACTTTTATCACTTAATCTCCTTTTATTCACATTGTTCCATGTTATTTCATACTATTAAAAACATTATTTAATAATGTCAAATGATATGCAATAAGTTCTTCTGTGGTTCATCATCTGAGGCCCAGATGCAGAAAAGAAAAGACAGGTAACAACATCTTCCATTGCTCATGCCAACACAAACAGAGCCCTGGTTTACTCATCAAAACGTCACTATTTAACACGTTTGGAAATGTCCTTTTTTTGAGTCAGTTATCAGGGCTGTGCAATAAAATGACATATTTCCTAGAATCTGCCTTTCCTTAGAAAGAATGAAAAAATGAATATGACAAAGGTGGAAGAGCAGGGATCCCTCAAAGCACTAGACCGCACACAGAGGAAGCAAGACTCAGGGGGACGCACATTTAGAGCAAAGTGAACGATTCATTTAAAAGAGGTTCAGGAGGGTAATCTAGGTCAGACGATTCACATTTAGCCAAGACTGTTGGGGGCTGAATGTCATGGCTACCAGACAGATGCTCAGTGCCTTGAATGAAATGAGCTGGTCTCATTCCAGTCTCTGGAGAGCAGCTGTGCACATCACCCAAAGAAGGGGGAAGTCTGCTGCAGTTAGCACTAATTAACACCTTTGCTGGCAGGCTTAGCAGAAACCGCAGGAGTTCAGTGCCTGTGAAGGAGGCTGATTTGCTCTGGAGCTGAACGGAACACACTGATGAGCAACTGAAACACAATTCTCAATAAATGCCCACAGCCCCAGAATCCCACACCCTGACACATGCCTGGGTGGGCACAGTCTACAGATGGTTATGTTGAGTCTTTGAACCCTTTGGAAAACCCAGAAAGGTGACTATCATTGGCAGTCCCCTTACCAACTAAAAAAATAAAATGTTGCTAGCTGAAATTCCAGTTTAAACCCTGCCTCTCCCAGGAGATTCTCCCTGTCTCTGATTAGGTATCTTTCGGTACTCTGTATCTCTATTACACACTGGGCACTCCCCCAGCAGTTATTTAGATGATTTCATAGTTCAGCACATCCAAACAAGTACTGGGATGCTGGCCTGGAATAAATGGCTTCCTCTAAAATTGTGGTATCACCTAAGAGATTCCAGAACCTTTCTCTTGCCACCTACAGCCCAGAGAAGACTCAGAGTCCCTTGAGAGAGCCTTTATCAAATCTAGGTCCTCACACTGATTAGCACTCAAGGCTCTGTCCGCCCCCTCCCCCACTACACTCCTGACTCCTCTCGAGTCTTATTTTACCTTATTCCAATCTCATCCTTCCCTCTCCAAGCACTCTGTCTTGCTTTCATGTCTTGCTTGGCAATCCTTTACTCTGTTCCCTTGAACATATTATTACCTCCACCAGGAATATTCTCTTCCCTTCTTTCAACTAATCCACTGCCATGACCTGTCTCCTCAAATATTTGGCTTGGAACTATCTAATTAGAAGGAAAGCATTCTCAGACCAATCATGCTCTGGGCACAGTTAGTGTTTGCTGCACTGCACAGTTCTGTGTTTGTGTTCTCTCTCTGATCCCCAGGTTGAACCTTCAAGGTCAAGCCTATGACCATCACCTCCCCGCACTGTGGTCTCATACAATGCTCTGCACACAATGGATGTTCCATAAATATTTGTGAACTAAAAGTAATGTAATTTTTTAAAATGTTCGATGTGTTAGTTAACACAGAAGTGCTTTTTCTTAAAATAGAACTTAGTTTTTGGGTTCACTTTCCAAACACAACAAATGGATGATGGAGGTAAAGTGTTATGGATGGAATGTTTGTGTCTCCCCCAAATTCACATGTTGAAACCCTGAACCCAAGATGATGGTATTAGGAGCTAGGTCTTTGGGAGGAGAGTGGAGCCTGAATGAAAGGAATCAGTGCCTTGTAAAGAGGCCCCAAGCGAGTATCTTGTTTCCTCCACCAAGTGAAGACCAGGTATGTTGGCCTGATAACAACAAGCTTGTTCCTCCAGCCATGTGAAGACACAGGGGAATGTTGGCCGTTGATGAACAGACCAGAAGCAGGCCAGCATCATGATCTCGGACTTCCAAGCCTTCAGAACTTGAGAAATAAATATTTATAAGCCAGACACTGTCGAGTATTTTGGTTCTAGCATCCTGAATGAAGTAAGACAATATGTAAAACTGAGACATAAAAAGGCTGATTGGCCATCAGCTGTCTTAGCCTCTTCCACGTCTGTTCCTAACAGGAGCTACCATTCGATGTGAGCAGACCCCTTGCCAAGCACCATACATACTTGGGCGTTTTACCCTAAGATAGAAGCTACTGCACTTTCATTAGCATTTTGCAGAGGAAAAAACTGAGGCATGGGTAAGTTTAGCAATTTGCTCAGAAGACAGTTTAAGTGGAAAGTCAGCTTCTACTGAAGTAAGAGGAAAGGATGGAAAGAGAAGGGAAAGAAAGCACCTAAAAAAGAAGAATCATTTGGTCACATTTTGCAGAACGGCACCCCGGCAAATCTTCCTGCGTGCGTGTGGTGGCTGCAGTGGTGTGGCCCAGGTCCCTCCTTCTGGCTCCAGGGGGCGCACTCGCTCCTCAGCCAGGGAGGAGTGGCTGCTGACGGGCCCGCAGCTCAGCCCCAGCCTGGGATCTGTCTTTGGAAGAAGGGAGCTGCCTCAGCCAAGTTACTGCCCCGCTCAGGGACAGTCAGAGGACGGGGTACGAAAGCCTGAGCGCTTGGCCTCACTATAGGAAGGGTCACTCCAACGTCAGCGGTCCCCGCAGCATCGGCCAAGGCCTCGAAGACAATATTCCGGCTCCGCTTCCCCAGCCGCTCAGTTCTGCCTTCCTCCTTCCTTCCCTGACATTTGCTGTTCCTGAGAGCACACCCTAAAAATCTCCTGCAGGCATATCTCCGCCTCTGAGCCTATTTCCTGAGCCTAGTGCCTGAAAACACTCAGCATTACTGGGAAGCAGAGACCAGGCCCCACACCAGGAGCAGAGGCGCACGCGCAGCCTCGCCACGTGCTGGCTGGGGAAACCTTGGGACCGGCCGCAGTTGGATGCGTAACTGTGCGCCCCCTTGTTCCCTTTGCCGCACTGGGCGGCCTTCCCTGTCCCTAAGTACCAGAACCTCCACGCTGTCTCTCTTCTCATCCCTCTTTCCTATCAAGCTGTGATTTCAGGAGAGGATTTGATCAACTTAGTCACACAAAAGGAAAATTAATTAAATTCATGTATTACTGCTTGGGACTAAAAATAAAGTCATGTTCATTATAAGTTTAAACCAAGGGAAGGATATGTACAGCACAATTCTAGATATGTATTTATTTATTATTTAGTTATTTATTATTTAGTTATTTACTTACTCAGTTAAACCATATTTGAGCATCTGCTGGACTGAGCTGGTTGAGAGGTTGGGAGTGGCCACCTCTGCCCTTAGAAACCAACCCCGGTGACCTCTGAGACCTCCACTGTCTACCTACCGGTACCCAGTTGCCCTGAGGGTGCACTAATTTTATGCTGATTTATGGGGCCACTAGCAGTTCATGAATTACCATGTTGCACAGGCACAAACATCTACGGCGGATCCCCCACCTCCCACCCCACTACTCTTCCAGAACTAAATTGAGTTCATTTCACCAGCAAAACAAAACAAGCCATCAGTCCCTCTTCTGTCAACTCAGAAGCACACTAAAAGCTTTTCGCAAGATAGTAGTAGATGGTTCAGAAGAGGCAGCAGCCTTTTAGCTCACTTTTTTTTTTTTTAGAGAGAGAGGGAAACATTGACGTGAAAGGGACACATCGAGTGGCTGCCACCAGCACAACCCAACCAGGGCCGAGGACAAACTGCAACCGAGGTACGTGCCCTTAACGGAAACCGAACCCGGGTCTCTCTGGGCCGCAGGCCAACGCTCTAACCACTGAGCCAAACTGGCCAGGGCGCAGCAGCCTTTTAAATTCAGTCTTCCCTGCTCTTCAGCAGAGGCCTTTTAAACTACTTTTGAATAAGTTCAAGGTGAAGGGCACATAGGAAAAATTTTCCAGGGAGGTTTTGCTACAAGCTAGCTACTCTCCGAATGATTCTTATGTCTTCTAAAGAAGAAGAAAGATGGGCGATGTTATTTCTAATTTTCTCAGGTCTCAAAAATCAATACACAGTCGCGGCTTGGCTTGTCACAGAGGAAGACCCACTGCTGCGAGGCAGCAGACTTGGTGGGATCAGCAAGACACGGGAGACTCAAGGACAAATAATGTTAACTGCCATTTACTACTGTTATCTGGCTAGGAATCCCCACGTTAGTCACTTCACCTTTCCTTTAACTTCGTTTTTCTTAAGTGAGATTAATACAGGCTCAGTTCACAGTTTGCTATCAGGTATAATTAATAAAACACACAAAACTGCCTATACTACATTCTTCATTAATAAATCCCAAAGATAATATAAACTTTCCCTTTGGCAACATACATGTAGCTTTTTAAGTTTTGGTAGATATGTTTTCATTAATAAAAAAAGGTAAGACTTCAGCATGGCTGGTGTGGCTCACTGGTTGAGCATCAACCCATGCACCAAAAGGTCGCCGGTTCGATTCCCAGTCAGGACACATGCCCAGGTTGTGGGCCAAATTCCCAGTGGGGGACATGCAGGAGGCGGCCCATCAATGTTTCTCTCTCCCTCTCCCTTCCTCTCTCTCTAAAATCAATTTAAAAAAATTTTTTTAAATGTTAAGATTTTAAATATTTAGATGAGCGTTTTTAATGTACACATACATTCCAGGGAGACAACAGACAGGAAATAGTGTGAAGAGTGAACCCACCTGCAGTGGCGAAGGGGGTTCGTTCGGGTGGAACCAAAGCCTGGACGACTTACCTTGATATGCTGCCGCAGGTGACTGAGCAGCAGTCCGTGCTGTGCAGGTACCGCAAGGCTTTGGCTGTTCCTATGAGTACACTGATCCGAATGTGCCACGAGAGTGGGGCTGTGTTACCCTGAAAAGACGACAGGAGTTGCTCCAGTTGCACTTTCTGAGTGAAAACCACGCACGTATTCATCGCACAGAAGTGTGGCGCAGCAGAGGGTGGCGCGTGGTGGGTTTGCGGGGACAAGTCTGTAACTGAAGAAAGGCTTTCTACTCCCAGCGCTGGCTCTAGGCCTTTGTAGCCAGTGACATGCCTAATAATGTTCATATCAGCTTAATCAACATATGGATAGGAAGGTAATTATGTGTAAAAGCTCATTAAATAAGATTTTTAAATTATTTGTGGCATAATAGTGTGGGTAATTGAGAATAATCTGGTTTTATTCTCAGCTTAATTGAAATAACTTACATGAATCAATTTTTAAACTTATACTTCAAAAGCATTTTATGAAAAACCATGGCACTTGTTCAACCTCCTCTTTAAGGAGTCTATCACTTTTATGTCTATTCTTTGTGTTGAATGGTACCTAGGTCAACTTATACAAATAAAAGTTATCTGAGAAATAAGGGTAATTGATGTAAACCCAATTGAGATGTCGAATCAATAGGGAATAAGGACCCAGGAAAGCTTTTGGCCACTATGTTATACAACCTAGTAACTCAGGTATTTATGCAGGCCTCTGAAAGTAAGAAATTAACTCACGGAGAAGTCCTTTGTCTCCTTGGGAAACCCAGTGTGGGCTGTCCCCTCCTGTGAACGCACACGAGCCTCGGGCTCTCGCCGAGGGGCTTCAGGGAGTCAGAGTAGCAAGCAGAGTAATGGAAATTACTTACTACGCACTGTAATCTGTCAAAAAGTGATCCGTTCCTCATGTATGGATAAACCAGGCAGAACTTCTCACTCTCTGTGAAATATGCAGTCAACTCCAGTATGTTTGGATGATGAAATCTTTAAACAAATGATATTCAAATCCATCAATTAGGGGATAGGAAATAGGTCTAAAGCAGAATATAAATTTGGCAAAAGGAGAAGTAATTTCATTGGACACATGACACAGATTTGCTTTCCAAATTGATCAAAAGTGTTCTAACAAATAGTAGCCACTCTTTTACTGATTGTGACCACACAAATACAAATAAAATATCCAAATACAAGACAGAAATTTTAAGAGAGTAAAGAGTTCTTAAGATTTGGGACACTAGGAACTTTATAACAAATAGACAACAATATTCAATATTAACTTATTTTTATCAGCAGAAAACCCACTATAACTTATTTATTAAATAAATAAAGATAATGCAACTGAAATGATCTATTTCATTGTTTTAGGTAGACACATATAAGTTAAGTCACCAAAAGAGAAGAGTACAGAAGACTTGTGCGCATTCATCCATTTCTGAGAGCTACTAGGCAGGTACTGTATTAGGCATCAGTCAGGTAAAAGAGACAGCCAGTGTCTTCACACAGCTGGTATGGGGATCTACAGTCCATGGGACTAGTTAAGTTTGATGATGAAACATGTATCACTGATTTTTATATCATGGAATTCTATGTCAGTGTCAGATACATTTTTAGGCTCCTTTCCTTAAAAGCTCCATTTCTTTTTTTCTTTCTTTCTTTTTGGTACGTGCCCCTAGCGGGAACTGAACCCGGGACTCTCTGGTCCGCAAGCCGACGCTCCAACCGCTGAGCCAAATCAGCCAGGGCAAAAGCTCTATTTCTTGAATGCATGTGTCATCACTGTGAAAACTAATGGAACGCAGGTAACAACTATGAACATAAAACATGTAAAATTCTCATATACTATGAATTCAGTTCAATTCACTATTTATTGAACACCTGCTATGTTGTAGACATGTTTGGGATATTAAAATAAATAAAGCTATTTTTTTCTAAAAAGGGTTCTATTTATAAAGGCCTATTATTTGTTTCTTCCATAGCAAACCTTTGCTATAAAACACATACATATATAGATATCTACATATAGATATCTATCTACAGGGAGATTATCTATCTGTCTATATCTCCCTTTTGAGTCCTTCTATTCCTCTTTCCTCAAGAAAGGTTGTGTGTGTGGGTGTGTGTGTGTGTGTGTGTGCAATCACACTTACACAAACACACAGAGAGACTTTTATTGTTAAATATGTGAAAAACTGTGACACAAGATCCCTGCACCTACCTATAAACGGAAAAGCACTGGACTAAAAGGAACTGAGTTGGTGCATTTGGTTACTTATACAGCTGATCTATGCCACTAGCTGGCTGATTCTCCTGCGGTTTAATGAAAGAGAAATCTTTTGGAAAGCAGTAGACAGAAGACCTTGTATAGACACAGCCACTGCTCGCTCACAGAGCAGAAGTGGCCACTTGCTTATTTTTAAATAGTACTGATCAAGCAGAAAAATGTTTCCTTTAGAAGTTCTTAAGGTAAGAAGCATGGAAATGCCATAGAGAGTGATTGCTGGTTTTAGTTCTACAGACCCATCTCACCCATCCTTCCACTAAAAAGTTGTAAGTTGGTGGGACTTTAGATTATATAGGTCTGAAGGTCAGCAAGTCAACAGATACTCTGAGTGCCTACTGCAGATAAAACATGAGGCAAGCTACCACGGTGTAGGGAAGGAGACAGACCTGGGTTTGAAATTCTGGTTTTCTTTCCATCAAATGTATAAACTTGGGCAAGTTATTGAATCTCTATGAGCTGATTTGTGTCCCCCAAATCCCTCCACCAATCCATATGTTGAAACCCTATCCCCCAATGTGATCATGTTTCAAGATGAGGCCTTTGGGAGATAATTCAGGTTAGATGAGGTCATGTGGGTGGGGCCCACATGATAGGATTAGTGCCCTTCTGAGAAGAAACAGCAGAGAGTTTGCTCCCTCTCTCCACCTGGGAGGACAAAACAAGAAGGCAGTCAGGAACAGAGTCCTCACAGGAATCAAATCTGCCTTGATCTTGGACATCCCAGCTTCCAGAACTGTGAGAAATATGCCAATCTTCAGAAGTAGGTAAAACTTCTACTTCTCAAGAGTGTTATGCAAATTAAATTAAAGGTTAAACATTCAGCCAAGTCCCAGAACCTCAGAAATTGTTAGCTTCCTTCTCTTCCCTTGAGGAAGAAGGGGAGGAAAAAAAAAAAAAAAAAAAAAGAATCAGAAGCCACATTCTAAGGAGTTTATAATTCTATTTAAGAAACAGGATTAAGCAGGTCCCTTAATATTAAACTAAGAAAAAAAAAAATTCTCATCCTCAGGTCTCAGTAACATCTTTTTGTTACTTTTTCCAAGAAGCCTACTCTGCACCCCCTCACCCTCCACCACCACTGAGTTGCTATTTCCTGTTTTTTCAGTGTTCAGTACTTCCTCATATTATCATTTAATTTACTGAAATTGCCTACTATGTACTTCTCTACTAATCCCACTCTAAACATCTCAGATAGTATGTTCTGAAAGGAGAAAGCTGCATCTGACTTATTCCTAAGTAAATCTCTGAGAAGTGGGAGATTGACTTAGGAAATAAGTTAGATCTTATAAAAAAAAAAAAAAAAAAAAATATATATATATATATATATATATATATATATACACACACACAATCTGCCTCAATTTCCCATCTATAAAATGGAGATAATAGCAATATTTACCTCATAGGTAAGTTGATTACCACATAGGTAATCCTATGATTACCTCAGAAGATTAAATAATTAATACATGTAAACTTCTTGGTAAATAAATATTAGCAATATAAATAATGATGGCACATGAAGAATATTCAATATCATAGAGTTGTCAATTCTCTCTAAATAAATATATAAATACCTCACCAGAATAAATCCAAATAAATCAGATACATAAATATAAAAAATAAGATCATAAAAGTACTTGGAAAAAATGGCAATATTACTTTTTAACCTCTCAGTTATGATATAAAACCCAGAGTCCATAAAAGAAAATATAGTTGAAAAATATTAAATTCAACTACATGAAAACCATTTCCACATGGCCAAAACTAGAATAAACAAAGACAAATGACAATCTGGTAAAAAACTGCTTGTGTCTCATAACATAAAAGCAGGGCTAATTTTCTCTAATATATAAAGCGCTCTTACAAACCATTAAGAAAAATACCCAATGGCTTAATAAAACAAGGGAGCAAAGGGTATTATATTTTCATAGAGAAGGAAATATATCCTTTAATATGTATAAAGATTCACTCATAATAGAAAAAGAAATTTAAACTACACTGAGAAACCATTTCTACCCAGCAGACTGGCAAAAATTAAAAGTTAAGAAATTAGATGAACTTTTGGGTGTAAATGCAAGTGAACCAGGCACTCTTACATATGACTTGTATAACTGTAAATCAGTGTAACTGCTACTGAAGGACAATTTGGTAATACGTCATACGTATCACCATTTTGACGCTATAATTGTTTTTGTTGTTGTTGCTGTTGATCCTCACCGGAAGATATTTTTTCCATTAAGCTTTAGAGAAGAGGGAAAGAGGGAGGGAGGGAAGAAGGGAGGGAGGGAGGGAGGGAGGGAGGGGAGAGAGAGAGAGAGAGAGACATATTGATTGTGGCTGGGGGTCAAACCTGCAACCCAGGTACGTGCCCTTGACTGGGGGATTGAACCCGAGATCAACGGATGTGCAGATCAACACTCTAACTACTGACCCACATCGGCCAGTGCTACCCTATAATTTTATTTATGTAAATTTATCTTAGATATATTTAAACATTTACATATGAAAAAACATATGTATTAGTTTTCTTGTTGCAGCATCATTTTTTAATAATAAAAGATTAGAAAATAAAAACCCATCAATAGTAGAATGTTTAAATTACAGTACAGCACACAGTGGAATACTAAAATAAGCAAAGCGAACAAAGTATTGATGCTACGTTTTGTGTGAGAAGAGAAAAATAAGAAAACAAAATACATACATGCTTACACATAAACCATCTCCGGAAGATACACAAGAAACTGATAGCTATATTGCCTTTGGGAAAATCAGCTGGGCAGTTGGATGATAATATTATTTTCTTGGTTTACCCTTTTGCACTTTTGAAATTTTGAAATGTTTGAACATTTGCTTACTCATAAGTAAATAAATAAGGCTTAAATACAAAAACCTTATTACTGCAGTTTTGGTTTCAGTTTTTTGTTGACTAAATGACATATACTAAGTTATTACAATTAGCCTCTAACGTTTGGATTTCTGGTGCTGGGTATTAAAGGAGAGGGATTTATACCCCTGCCCCCAGTTATGTATTGGTTTAGAAAACATCTGAAAAGAACATTTTCTATTTGTGAAGGGTGATGAGTGAACTCTATAGGGTTATGGGCCTTCAATGAGGCTCAAGGCACAGCTGCAGATATGAATATATATGAAAATGAAGTCATTTTAGTTTGTCCCCAGGGACCCGCAGGCTCATGAATGAATTCACAGAAAATAATATGCACATCAAAAGCACTCGATTTCTTTGTCTAAAACTCTCTTCCTGAAGAGGGTTATACCGATGAAACAGTTTCTTGACTGGAATGTCTCTAAGGAAGGAGGAAATGGTAAAATATATACAATTCTAATGCTCTAAGAATTATTTCACACTCAGCCATGTTAGTCACACATGATTGAACACACTTCCCCATGGCAGGTTTCTTGTTAAAATATGTTCAAGTGAATTATGTAAATGGCCTATTTTTTAATGTATTCTAAGGAATATACTAAAGCAGATGTCAGAAATTTACCCAGTGTTCTCCAACCCTCATTTATGAAATGCCAACCATGCCAAGCTCTGTGGTGTAAAATGAAAGATGAGCAGAGATGAAAACCAGGCACAAAACAAGAAATTCCAGGCCAAATATACTCACAGCAGTAAAACTTCAAGCTCAGATAAAAACCTCTTCCATTGTTTCTTACATTGCATTTGTTTCTCCTAAATATCAAACAGAAAAACAAGAAAAAAAAAATTAAGGGAAGTATCTCTATTTCTGGGATTCTTAAGCCCACAGCCTCCCTGAAATTAGGTGAACTTTTGGGTGTAAATGCAAATGAACACGTTTCTGGGGAGAGGATTCTCAGATTTAATCAGATTTTCAAAAACCCATTCACCCCAAACAGATTTAGAACCACTGCTATTAAATGAAAAGTTTTTCATGCAATGTTTCATGTCACCATATTTTATATTTGAACTCTTTCACCTTTTTCATAAATTCAAAAATACTGTATGTCTTCAAAGAAAATCCCCTGATATTTACAAATTCCCCACTTGAACTCATAAAGAATTCAGTTCCTGGTCCCTGTATACTGGTTAGAAGTGACTTCACTAATTTGGCATTAATGACTTGGGTCATTTGGACATGTTGGTTCAAGTTTACCTCTGCATTAATTTTTAAAAGGTGGGCTTACTAAGCAAATAAAACTATAACTCCTTACTTCAAAGATGCTTCAGAAGCTAGCCCAGTGCCTGACATAAATGTTTATTGAATTTATTAATTAGTCCATTATTATCGGACTGAGCACTAACTCTGTACCTGGCACCATTCTAATGGCTTCATGCACCTCAGGCCATTGCAGGGCTCCAAATATCAGGTTCCTAACTTCTACAATAAAGGAGTTAAATGAGATGTGCTCCTAGGTCCCATCAACTGCAAGGTTCTTTCATCTGCAAACTGCTAGATGGGGCAGAGTTTCCGAGCTCTCTGTCCTCAGGAATGGAGGGAGAGAAATCCAACAAGAATTCTGGAAGCTATTTTCCAAGTTAATCCAGGAAGTCAGAAACAATAAACTAGGCTGACAACTCATTTTCAAAGACATCTTTATGAGACTTTATATTTTGAAAAACTATTGTCGTGAGATCCAAGTGGGCTGGGTCTCAGGCCCTTTTGTAACACTCACTGTTTGTGACCTTGTGTCACTTTGTCACTTAATCTCCCTGAGGTCACAGTTTTCTTAATCTGAAAAATAAAGGGGTTAGTTTTTGTGTTTGTGCAAAGCTAGTGTTCGTGCTAAGCTAGCATTCTTGCGGCTCATCGTGTGGTCTGTGCACGAGGAACATCAGCTTCTCTGGGAGCTGGTGAGAAATGCTGAATCTCAGGTCCCCGCACAGATGTGCGGAATCAGAATTATAATCTCCCCAGGTGTTGGATGCACCTATCTAACTTTAGTACATTTAGTACACTTGCCCGCTTCAGTCCCTCTACGAAAGGTTATTGATGTTAATGTCCAATTTTACAAAACCACATTTTTTTTTAAAATGCTCTGCAGCTCAAGCTTCATTAAATTATCTCATCTTTCTGATAAATGTGTGTGTGGGTGTGTTTGTGATGGATGTTGCTTCTCTCTCTAAATATCAATTTAAAAAATACTAAGACAGAGGCAGGAGAGTCAGAGAAGAGATGAAGAAGCAGATGTTAGAGTAATGTGTTTGTATGAGTGTGTGTAGGACTTTGTAAAGTCTATCTGTTGGTACCTTTGTTACCTCCTGTCTTTTTACTCCTGGAGAGTCGCAACTAAATTCATAAAAAGGGCACATTTGTCATTCATTTCATTGCTTGAGAAATATTTATTGAGCAACTATTATGGATTAGGCCCTGTAATGAGGCACTGGGATACAAAGATAGACGAGCTCTCTTTAAAGAAAATCATCCAGTCTATTGGGAGAGGCGGATGAAGAAGTCAGTACTATGATACAATGCTGTGACGCTGTGACTACACGAAGGAGGGTCAGCAAAACCATACTGGAGGGGTCAGGGGCAATCAAAGAAACAATTGTCTCTGGGGCAGGAGGGAAGGAGATCTAGAGGCAATGACATCTCATTCTGAAGCCAGACTCCTGAAAAGAAAACTCGCAAAAGGGAGTGTGAGCCCTGGCAAGGTGGCTCCGTCGGCTGGAGCGCTGACCCATACACAAAGGTTACAGTTTGATTCCGGGTCAGGGCACGTACAGGAGGCAACTGATTGATGCTTTTCTCTCACATTGATGTTTCTCTCTCTCTCTTTCTCTCTCTCTCTTCCTTCTAAAATCAATTTAAAAAACATATTCTCAGGTGAGGATTTTTAAAAAGATGGAGTGTGCATTGGTGGAGCTGCAGAGGGAAGAGGAGGGGAGACGGATGGAGCCTTTGGGGAGGTGGGCCTAGGGTGCAGTCAAACGAGGATGTACAAATGGAGCCGTTTCATCTCATCTCTTAGGCACACTGGCCCTAAGACACCGGCTTCAGTTAGGCCTCCTCTAGAGTAACCACATTCTCTTTGTTGAATGGTTTTTACCAGCAGATAGTTTCATTTCTTTATTAGACCATTCATCTTACCAGGAATTTTGAGATGTCTATATAGAATTAGTGGGCAAAATGCAATTTGAAGAAATGGAGAAATCAGGCTACTTGTTTAAAAAAGTCCCTATAACTTAAGCTGCCAAGTAGGATTCACCTTAGATCCTCCCTCCCTCTCCCCTATTTCCCCAGCTCTAATAGGTCACTATTTTGATCATTATTTTTGGTCCATTTCATCTCATCTCTGAGACGTACCGTCTCCTCGTCATCCCCATTGCCTCTGCCCTGCAGTGGTTCCCAACACTGGCTACATATGACCCACCTGGGAAGCTTTTTAAAAACATTGATGCTGCCCTGGCTGGTATGGCTCAGTTGGTTGGAACGGGTCCCATATATCAAAAGGTGGTGGGTTTGATTCCCGGTCAGGGCACATACCCAGGTTGTGGATTCCCTTGGCAGGGGCACATGCGGGAGGCAACTGATCAAGGTGATGGATGTTGTTTGTCTCTCTCTCCAAATATCAATTTAAAAAAATGCTGATGCCCGCCACCATTGTGGCTACTTGGATTTATTATTCATGAGTAAGACATCTGCTTTCAGGCCTGAACCTCCAGGCCTTTCCACCTGCTGTTTGTTCCACCCCTCACTTCCTGCCAAAATCCTACTCATCCTTCAAAATCCAGCTGAAAGGTCACGTCCTTTCATGCACTGTTCCCCTGGTTTACTGCAGAAATGTTTACTGAGTGGTTACTCTGTCCCAGACACTCTCCTGGGCGCTGGACGCACTCCGCCTCTGGCTACATTGTATGTGCTCCTAGGACCTTTTGGACAAATGTCTGCTCAAGTACTTCTCACACTGAAGTTTAATCTTTTCTTTAGCCAGCTGTTTCCTCCTGTTAGACTGTGAGCAACTCGAGGACAGAAATATGCCTTATTCATCTTTGCAAGTTCAGTACCCACCCACATAAGGAGTTTAGAAACTGTTTACTAATTGCTGACGAACAGTGAAGAACACGAGGAGCGGCTCTGTGGGGTGTATGGTGTACCTATCGCTCCCCGACTCCCCAGTCAGAATCCTCAGTACCCTTTCTGCCCTTTGGCCAAGCACTCAGCTGCCTTGCTGCTCCCACCCGAAGCCTCCCCTCCCCCACGCTCCTGAGCTGTGGCAGAAGACAATTTTTAAAGTGCCACGGGATGCCAGTGTGTGGCTTAGCTTGCGAAGCTGCCCATCCTAAAAAAATCAAACAAACATGAACACTGGAGCAGCCAGCACAACCTGACCGTCTGAAGCCAAGTCCCAAAGGTCTAACAAGGCTTTTCAGAAAAGACTTTCTCATGCAATACCTCTGGGTATAGGAAGGATTTAACTTCCACATTCCTGCAAGACAGGCATTCATTTCTCAGCCGTTTCTCCAGTCGCCTGAGATCATAGATCTTATTTCCATTTATGAAATTATATTTTCAAATACACCTCTTTTCAATCTTGATGAAAAATGACACATTCTAATATGAAGCATGAGCAAATAAATGGAACTGATATCCTGTGGTAGTAATTCTTTCCATACCTGTTTAAATAACTTAATGGCATAGGTTTGGTTTTGGACCTCCGCTCTGAATACCTCGAAAACCTCCCCTTCTCCGATGCGGAAGTCTTTGTGGAAGTTTTTGGTTCCTTCTATGATGTTTTGAAAGCTGATGGAGGATTGAAGCACTGTTCCTTAGGAAGGAGAGGAGGGAGAAGATAAGTTACTTTTACTTCTTTAAAGAGCCACTGCCACCACTACAAAGAGCCAGGACTTCCATACCAGAAATACGGCAGAGCCCAGTGGAAAGTCGGCGGGGTGAGGCACAGGAGCCAAACTGAACCCCACCATGTGCTCTCTGGACATTTACTCAGGTCTGGCTCCCACTGTTTCACAGAGCAAATGGCTTTTTAAATATTTCAGCAATAGCACTGCAATTCTATCACCCTTCCAAAGAGATCAGCCAAAAAGCTCAGTTGGGGAAACTTTTCCGAGGTTGTTTCTCTGCCATTAGAACAATGAATGTGAAACCAAAAAAAAAAAACCTATATTAGTGGAAATCTTGATATGACTCAACAATATTCTCTAAGAATGACTGATGGAAACATTTTTCATAAGCCAAATCTTCTAAATGCCTAGCTAACTTCCTCAGAGTAAATTAGAAAGATGTCAAAGCAAAGACTGGGAAGAAACATTTAAAAGGTAACCAACTATAAATCCAAAGGCAAAAGCTTGGCTAAAAACTTCAGAATCCAATTTTGGCTATATTTCCAATTTAATATTTAGACCTTATTGCTAAATCTTAAAGGACCAAAATTTTCTAAATCTCTTTTGAACCAAAGAAACATCAGATCTAGTGGCAAAGATTAGACTAGGTAGCCTCAGATAGCCATTAAAGTTTATCAGAATGGCCCTGGCTGGTTTGGCTCAGAGGTTAGAGCGTTGGCCTGCAGTCCTGAGAGACCTGGGTTTGGTTCCCACCAAGGGTATGTACCTCGGTTGCAGTTTGTCCTCAGCCCTGGTTGGGTCGTGCAGGTGGCAGCCACTCGATGTGTCCCTTTCATGTCGATGTTTCTTTCTCTCTCACTCTTCCTCTCTCTCCCTCCCACTCTATCTGAACAAAAAAATGGAAAAATGTCCTCAGGTGATGATAAAAAATAAAATAAAGTTTATCAGAATGACCCCTGGGTACAACTACATTATTCTCTCAGCTAATAAAGTAGGAAAGATGATATGGAAAATAACTGGATTTTCAGAGCCACTTTCAGAGTTGCTATATAAACATCTCTAAAAATCTCTGCAAATGCTATGACAATTTCTAAAACTATATAAAACCCCACATAATTTTTAAATATTTTCCTGACATAGAATAGCAAGTTTCGCAAACAGAAAATAAGAACTTCCCTTAAGAGATCACAATTCACAATTATGTTCTTCATTGGCCAATAGATTTTTAATATCACAATAATATATCATCTATCAGAACTGTCTCAAGTCAAAATTACAGTATTTTGATGTCTATGAAAAGTTCATGCTGAATCTGCATATTAATGAACAGCTAATACATTTATCGGATATTTCTCCCTCTCAATTGACTTAATTGAAAGCATGATTTAAAAAGAAGTTGGGGTGGTGGTTTTTTTGTTGTTGTTTTTTTACCTTTTTTATTATGTTCAGGAATAAGAACATTATCCACTGTGACATTGGCTGTTTCCTAAGAGAAGAAATACGTATTAAAGTAATTCAGTTTCATAAGTCTAAATAGAAGAGAACTTCAACAGAAGTCCACAGCTCCCCCTGGGACTATACAGTTCAGTAGAGTGAAATCTAATTTAGAAGTAAGCTAGTAGAAAGCAAAATTATTTTATTTTATTCAATAGTATTCATTGTCATATATATTTAAGGTTTCCAGACCAACTGTAAAAATTCAAGTATCAATGTCATTGTCAGTTATGGTCAATTTTAAATGACTTCTATTGTTATAAAAATGATCGCTGCTAATCTGCTTTAATAACAGTTAACAGCAATATGCAAAACACCAGTTAGAACAGAAAAATTAAAAGCTGAGTTAAGACAAATGCATAACTTATAGCACCCTTAATAGTTCTAAGCCTCCTATCTGACAGATCACTAAGAGGAGCGAGTTCTTAACTTCAAACATTTACGAAGCTCTACTTTTCTGAATTGCCGAGTAAACAAAGTATATTAACAGAGCTACGGCTTTTCTGCTGTTAAATTAGAACCTGCAACTCCAGCATTTTTCTGTCTGATTATTTTATTTCTATGCTCAATTATGTATGCAACAGAGTTCAAGGATCATTATCTATGCATACACACTCTACCTTGAAGAACATGTTTGGAAATCCATCTCCCTGATGACTCTTCTCTGAAGGATTCAAAGCTGCTCCTATAAGAGAAATAAGGGGAGCTAAATATCAAAAAAAAAAAAAAGTTTATGTCCCTAGTAAACTTGCTTTTTCCCCTTTCTTAGACTGTGAAAATAAATACCTTTATAGTAATGTTCATTTCTAAAGCTCAGTTTCATTTCCATTGAATGGCTACAAATTTATGTATGTGAATAGCTTTCTAATGATCAAATATCATACAAATATAATTTGGTTCACTAAAAACATGAATAATTACCTTAAATTATTGTTAGCTATTATTTAATTTTTTAAACTGTAAAGTAGAAAATTGAAAGAAAAAGGCAACATTGTTACCATCTTTTTATACACATATTTTAATGTTTTTTTGCAATTACAGGATTATATCTCCCTGGGTTAGATTATTTTTCATCCCATTTTGGGTCATAAGGTATTAGAGGTGTGTATGTCTGCGTGTTTGTGTTAACTAGCACAAATACCCACCGCCGCTCCCCAGTTTTAGACTATCACTTCTGTCTGTGACAGTACTGTCTGAACTGAGTAGTCTATGTGGCTTCCTATAAAAGATTAAAACCCTGCAATATTTTGCAGTTGCTTCTGACATTTTGTTTCAGACTTTAGAAACTTTTTACTTCATTTTCAAATTTTCCTTAGATTGTATTCTGGTGTTTCTTAAACTATTTGTTTAGAAGACAGGCAATAAAACACAATAAATTGATAATGAACCTCCTTGAACAGTACTATAAACCAAACACTAAAGACCCAACGGACATCTATAGAACATTCCATCCAAAAACAGAAAAATATATACATACTTCACAAGTGCACATTGAACATTCTCCAGAATAGACCACACGTTAGGCAATAAAATAAGCCTCAATAAATTTCAAAGGGTTGAAATCATACAAAGCATAATCTCTGACCAAAATGGAACTAAAGTAGAAATCAATAACAGAAGAAAATTTGGGAGGTTCACAAATACATGGAAATTAAACAACAAAGTCATAAATAACAAATATAAGAAGAAATCATAAGGGAAATTAGAAAATACTTTAAGATGAATGAAATGAAAACACAACATATCAAAACTTAATGCAGCAAGACCAGTGCTTAAAGGAAAATTTATAGTTGTATATACTTACATTAAAAAAGAAGAAATATCTCAAATCAGTAACCTAAATTTATACCTTAAGAAGCTAGAAAAAGAAGAGTAAACTAAACTAAAGCAGAAGGGAAGAAAGAATTAAGATTAGAGTGGAATTAAATAAAATAAAAAATAGAAAAATGAGAGAGAAAAATCAATGAAACCAAAGGGGATTGGTTTCAAATTTGTGAAAATATCACAAATTTGACAATCCTTTATTAAAAATGACCAAGGAAGAGGAAAGACAAAAATTACTAAAACAAGAACAAAACCAGGAGACATAACTACCAACCTTACAGAAATAAAAAGAATTATGAATACAAGAACAACTATATGTAAAAAAATTAGATAACTTAGATGATATAAACAGATTTCTAGAAAAACACAAATTACTGAAACTAACTCAAGAAGAAATAAACAATCTGAATGGACCTATAACAGAGACAGAGATTGAATTAATATTTTAAGACTTCCCACAAAGAAAAGTACAGGTCTGGATGAATTCACAGGGAACACTACCAATAACTAAAGAAAATATAATACCAGTCCTTCACAAATTCTTCCAAAATAGAAGAGGAGGTAACAACTCCCAAATTATTCTTTTGACGTCAATATTTTCCTTATACCAATGCCAGACAAAATACAGGAAAATTACAGACCAATATCCCTTATGTATATAGGTACAAAAATCCTCAACAAAATATTAGCAAACCAAATCCAGAAACATATAAGAAGGATTATATACTACAACCAAGTGGAAGTCATCCCAGAAATCCAATATTGACTTAATATCTGAAAAATCAATCAGTGAAATACACCATATTAATAGAATGAGGAACAAAACCTGTAAAATCCAATAACCTATCATAATAACAACCATAAGAATAGAAGAGAATTCCCTTAATTTGATAAAGAACATCTGTGAAAAGCCCACAGATAACATCATACATAATTCTGAAAGACTGAATGTTTTCCCTTTCAGATCAGCAACAAGAAAAGGATGTCTGGTCTTGCTACTTCTATTAGAAAATATACTAGCGATTCTAGCTAGGGAAGTTAGGCAAGGGAAAAAAAAAAATCCTAAATAAGGTATTGTTGTATAAAACAAAATCTGGAGATTAGGAACCATAAGGGCACTAAAAGTCATTGTTCTTTTATTGCTCACAAAAAGAGAGGACAATACTTCACTGTCATATAAAATGAAAAACTCAAAATGGCTCTCCTAAGAAGCCAGCAGAAAGCTGTGGATTTCACATCAAAACTAAAAAACAATTGCTGATCATTGAACTATAAATGCAAAATGTGATATGTAAAGATGTGTGCCAGAAATATAAAGACAGTAAGTTAAGAGTCCAGCTTCTTGAACAACTTGGTTATGTCCTGAGATCTGAGGATATTTTTTTATGAAAGTTAAAAAACCACCTATGCAGCCAACTGAACTGCAGGAATGATGACTAGCAGGAAACACAAGGCCTTTCTCAGTAGGACTCATAAGAAAAGTCTATAAAGTGATCTTTGGAGGTTGGCATAAGAAATTTCTCCAAAGAAATTTGGTAGTTCACCCTACCAAACTGAATAATTTTAAGAAAGGTAGGCAAAAATGGATATCTGGGTAGATAATGAATTATTTGGATAACTGATAACTCTGGCCATGGTAACAACAAAGACTAAATCTTTTTCTCTAAACTGCTAAATTGGTGAGCAGTTATCATAGGAGACATCTGTTAAGCAGGCTACACTCAATGTTTCCAATGAATCATCACATTGCTGCTTTTAACAAGCTACGTAATTAATGTTTTTAAAGAATGCAAAGCATCCTCTCAATCAATTGCAATTAAATAGTGCTATTTTCCTCAGTAAAGGACTCAGAACAAGGCGTTACTCTCTCTGTCATCTCAGATTTACCTGTCTCCTGGGACTAGGGCAGTAAATAATTATTTTTCCACCAATCAGCTAATCTCCCATATAAAAAATAAAATCAATGTTGCATGTGCAACAGACTAGGAGTCAACCAAGAATGTGACGTTTTTGCCTACTCAGCACACATCATTCTCTACTGCATAAACAATGCAAAGAGTGAGAGATACGCTGAAATCTATTCCAGCCGTATCTATAAAACATCTCCATGTGTCTTACCAAAATGGTTCGAGTTTATAGTGAAGAGCAAGTTGTGTGGGTGGTTTCAGTGGCTGGAAAAGGCTCAGATGATAAGGCATTGAATTTACAGTTCCCAGGAACTCAATGCATTTTAATTGATCATTTAGCTTCATAGTGAAGCATTCTGCTCCATGAAACTAACTGAAGAAGTAGTGTGCAAAAGACAAAAATGGGTTAATCAAGTTATATAGAGAATATCATGGTAGAAGCCTATTGGGAACTGTCTAATAACCCATTAACATGGAAAACCTACAAAATAAGTCAATCAGAAGCTACAGTTTTCTGGTACAAATCTCTGACAATTTCTTCTTTGTGCGTTTCTTTGGGTGATAAGATAGAGGCTCAAGTGCATTAACTAGATTATCAAAGAGCATGTGTGCAAATATACAGAAATATTCCTGAATGAAAGAGGCAAATAACAAGGATGTTGATTCAAAAGAGTTTCCACCTAAGAGCCCTGAGTCTATAAGACCCAAGATCACTGAAGATCATTCTTGTTGAAGGGAATAAATCTAAAGTGGATACAGAACAGGTGACATCAGGAGATTAATTTAATGACAAAAAATGAGTGGAGAAAACTTCATGAGCTTTACTTATCAGGTTACCCTAAATGTAAGGCATGACTCAGCATGAGAAACAGACAAGACAGGGAAGAATTAGGCCGCTGTGGAATGGGTAGTAAACAGGTAAGGCAGAGTTAGAGGCCACAGCATAAAAAGAGCAGTATGGATAAAAAAGAAATCCTAGAGTTATTCTGGAGGAATATCGTTTGCACTAAAATACAGGGTGGAAATCCAATTATATTTTTAACTTCTTATATGATAAAACAAATTATGACATTACTTATATTTTACTCATATTGTGATTCTGTTTATGATTCAAAGAGTTTCAGAGCTTGGATAGAGAGTTGATTCATATTGCGAAGAATAAAACATTTCAAAAAGTGTAGTTTGTACGTATAAATTTTTTTAAAAACCCAAACTATAAATTGGTAGAAAGGAATGTGTTCTATAAATTAGATAGTAAGGAATGGAAGTGTCACCCCCCGACCCCCACAGAAGTGAAGCTGTGAGGCCTGCTTCAGATAAATGGCACTGGTAAGAATTCGGTGACAAATAGCATGGCCAGTCACTGTCTTAAATAAAATGGAATATTCACATTTACAAATTACAATTCCTATTAAGTGGACCAAGAGCCGCATCATAAAAGTCAGTGTTTACCATGGTTTGCAATTAAATGGATAGCTCGATGATGTCCCATCTCATGGAGGATCTGTAAAAGGTCGCCGATGGTCTTGTTTTTCTGTGCCCAGGACCAAAGTAATTCTCTCGTTCCACTTTTACCTTGATCTACATATTTTTCAATATGCCGAACATCCAGCCAGCTGTTTGAAAGTCGCTCCGCTGTGGAAATTGCAACAAGAAGGACCAAAGAGTAGTTATTGAAATACTTTTTTTGCTGCGCTTTGTGTGCTTTATTTAATTGTGTTTATAGTTTTGTATTTTGAACTAACTTTAGTTCCTCACCAGCTTCTCCTCATGTCAACATCTTACAGAACTACCTTCCAGTCATTAGAACCAGTGATGACTGAACGGCAGACCTTAATCTAATTTCACCAGTTTTCCCACTGTCCTGTTGCTCTTCTAAAAATCCTATCCAGTTACTCGCATTGCAGTCAGTTGATACTTAATCTCCTCCAGTTGGATATTCCTCAGTCTTCCCGTGTGTCCTTCCCAGTGCATCATATCAAGAGGCTCATGATGCTGATGTCTTATTACCGGTGATGTTCATTTTGATTATTTGGGTAAAGTGGTATCTGCACTATTAAATTGTCTTTCCCTTTATAATTAATAACTATGTTGGGGGAAATACCTCAGGACTATGGAAATATCCTGTTTCTCCTCAGATTTTGCCCATAAATGTTCACATCTATAAGAGGATTTTGTTTATCATAGTTCATTACTCTGGTGTTTGCTTAATGGGGATTCTTTATTTTCCCTTCTGTGTTTATTAACTACAGTTCTTCTGTAAGAAAGTGCTCTCTCTTCTCCCCCATTTGTTTAACTAATTTATTTATTTATATCATCATGAACTCATGAGTACCTATTCCAGAGGTTAAAATCCAGTGCTATCATTATTATTTTGTTGCTAAAATTGTTCCAGCTTTGTCCATTTGGGCTGGCTCCTGTGTGATAAGCCCTATCATTTTTGGAATACTCCCTTATTTTCTGGCTTACAAGATGCTCTAGGCCCACTTTGTACTTCCCCTGCCCTAACCCTGTTATTAACTACTTTTCCAAGGAGTCCAGCCAGAAATATTGAAGAGCCAAAGCACAATTCTCCAGGTTCCCATTCCCACCACAGCAATGGCAGACACACATGTTGATATGGGGGTGCCTCAAAATCTAAGCAGTCTGGAGTGCTGAGCCACCACGAGGTCAGCTGTACTAGACTCTCAGTGCTCTTCCCGTGAGCAAAACGTAAACCTCTGTCATGTTTACCACTGAGATTTTGGTGGTGTTTGTTACTGCAGCATAACTTAGTCTATCCTGACTAATACACACAAAGTTTTATCTTGAATTTTCTGTTATTTCAGTCTCATTTTATACCAGAAGAGAGTAAAAGGGAGTGGCAGCTTTTGTGAGTACATATCAGATAAGGGAAGATAAAGTAGAGACATTCCATTTGAAAGCATGCTTAAGCTGTAGGGGCAAAAGCAGCTACAATCAAACGTCTGACATCATTAAGTTGGAATGTGTTTGCCCTTGCTCCATATTTTAAGTTCTGGCAGGAATATACAGTGATACCTCGGTTCTCGAACGCCTCGGTTTTCGACCAAATCGGTATTCGACCAGGAGATTCGAGAAACTTTTGTCTCGGAATCCGAACAAATATTTGGAACTCGAACTTCCGAGATGAGCCGAGTTGAGCCGAATGGCGTTCATTCGGCCCAGCGCGCCTTGCTTGCGTCATCAGTGTGAGTGCAGAGAGGGAGTCACGCTTTGTGGAGTCCGCTTTCCTATTGGGTTTCATTGCTTCGGTTCTCGAACAATTCGGTTCTTGACCATCCTCCTGGAACGAATTATGTTCGAGAACCGAGGTATCACTGTATTCACTATTCTCTTTGAAGAGATGATGATGTCTCATGAAGAGTCAAGGACTATCCAAATGCTAATGTATATTTTAGATAGCTTATCATTAAAAAAAAAAAAAAATAGAAAGGGGCTTCAGGGCAAAAATGAGGTAACTCGAATGCATTTCCTTTTGGTGAAATAATCTACCTATTTGATTGAAGCACATTTTTCACAAATACTATTTCTAAAATTTCTTGGAGGAAATACTGCAAATCAGTGTAGTTCAAACATTTGTTGAGTATTTACTAGGTACGAGCAATGTAGTAATTGTGGGTACCAAGTGTGAGGGGAGCAAGAAAAGGGGTCCCTAACTAAAGATGGGGGCGTCATGAAAGGCTTCTCAGAGGAGTGGTTTCTGGAGTCTGAGCTAAATTTACAACTATGAGTATTTCCAAAGAGAGGCCAATTCTTAAGAAATTATTGGATAGCCCTGGCCAGTTTGGCTCAGCGGTTAGAGCGTCGGCCTGCGGTCCTGAGAGACCCAGGTTCGGTTCCCGCTAGGGGCGCGTACCTCGGTTGCAGTTTGTCCCCGGCCCTGGTCGGCTGTGCGGGTGGCAGCCACTCGATGTGTTCCTTTCACATCGATGTTTCTCTCTCTCTCTCTCTGTTCTTCTCTCTCCCTCCCACTCTACCTGAACAAAAAATGGAAAAATGTCCTCGGGTGAGGATAAAAAAAAAGAAATTATTGGATAGGGGTACACTATCCTGGGGAGAAAAAAATCACTGGAGTTTCAGTTTGAAAAAAAAAAAAAGACAAAAGAACAAACTCTGCGCCTCATGAACTATACTGTCTTCTAAGGAGAAAAGCTGCCAGTCAAGAGAGCAGAGCCGGCCTCCTGGGAATATGTAGGGACATGCTAGTTTAGTGGTGGCTCTGCCATCGGCCTGTGGTGTGAGTCCAGACAGGTCACAGTCTCACTGAGCAATCTCAAACACCTCATTAGTAAATGTCTTTCGAAGTAATCCCTCCCAAAACATACGGTAAACTAGTTTGCCCTTCCCTGACCTACTAATTACATGAGCACTGACTGCACAACCCCTCCAGTCTTGCAAATGCTTCCTAGTCTCAAAATTGACATTCCAATGAGGTCATGCTAAATATCAACTTTCAGTAAAGGGGACATTTAGGTTTCTACTTTTTTTTTTATTAGTAAGTTAATTGGCTAATATTTAGACAGTATTGGGTATAATGTACCATGTAAATTAATAATATTTATATAACATATAACAGGATTCTTTTTCTTTCTTTCTTTTCTTTTTTAGAGAAAACAGTTTCTTCTACACTTTGAATCTTTGGGACAAGACATGCACATAATTTAATAGGGGTGAAGAAAGAAGATGCCCTTGCCCAGCCAGTGTGGCTCAGTGGTTGAGCGTTGACCCATGCACCAAGAGGTCACTGGTTCGATTCTAGGTCAGGGCACATGTCCAGGTTGTAGGTCCGATCCCCAGTGGGGGGCACACAGGACGCAGCCAATCGATGTTTTCTCTCATTGTGTTTCTATCTTTCTCTCCTTTCCTCTCTCTCTAAAAATCAATACAGAAAAAAATATTTTAAAAAAGAAGAGGAAGATGCTCTTGTGGGCTACCACAGGGAAGCAGCTTAGGGTGAATGGGAACTCAGCTGGCTTTGCATCAGGGGTGCATTAGGGTAATGTTCAAATAGGCAAAGGAAAGATGGAAGAGCTGTCAAAAGGGGAATTGTTCCAGAAATAAAGAAAAGGGCATGAGGGGGCAGAGGACACCAGTGTTGCTTAGAGCAGAGGGTTTATGCTTAAGAAAAGGTGAGCGAGCTTCATGAAGTCCCGAGTTACCTTTGTAAGAATGTGCCCAGCACATAGTAGATGTTCAATACATATTTGCTGAAGGACAGAGAGGGGCCCTGAGTGTTAGCACAGGTTAAACTTGATCCTGAAAGTGGATGGACCAGTATAAAATTTCTGATACAAAGATGGAAGCTTTACTTTTTGGACGACCCATCTGGTGGCAATAGTAGCAGGAGTCTCATACACAAGATTTGCACATAAAAAGGCATAAACATTTCCTCCTGATTATCACAGGAGGAAAGGAACGGTTTATAATTACTAAGGAAATCTGGAACTTTTCAAGTCCTAGAGGATGTCAGATTTTCCACATAATTCCTTCCCCTGTTTTTTCTTTTCTTTTTTTAATTTCTGAATTTTCCTTTGAAAAGTGTGACAAGCCATGAGCCTGAACTCCCTCGTCCTGTGACTTGGCTGAGAAACTGCTAATGTAAAACTCTCTTCCTTAAGCACATTTCTGAGATTTAGCTGGTGGGTGAACGAACAGATGCCCAAAGAGCTGGGTTTTTAGTTCCCTAACACTGACCACGGGCAAAGGTTTCTGAGTTTGCACTATCTAAGGAGAGCCAGATTAGGCAAAAGCATTTTTCTAATAAGAACAATTCCTGGTGTGAAACTGACCAGGGCTCTGTTACAATGAATACTGCATGCATGGGTTGCCTCCAGGACTAGAAATGAAATGTTTTCTTCCTCTAACTAGTGTTTCAGAGTGCAACCTTAATAGCTTTTCTCCAGTGATAATGCATTTTGAATAGAAACACCACTAAAGAGTATCATTAGCATCCATAAAGTGTATGATTCATTTAGATCAAATTCTATAAAACAATACCTTCAATTTGATGGAAAAGGATGCAAACTCTTATCCTTAATTATATTCCTCAATAGTCCTAGTTTTTGCTTATCCTTCCACATTTGTCCCCTTCCAGGATATAGCACTTTGTTTATTCACAGTACTAAACAAATAAAGAGTAAATTTCTCTATGATTGTGTTGTTAAAGTTAAGAACATTCTAAATAAAAAGATACACTGTAGCGAAACATCGTTTAAAAACCACTTTTTGGAAGGCAAATCTTTCCTTTGAAAGGCATCTTGGCATAATATAAGCCAAAAGGTCGACCCGAGAAGTTCAGCGATTAGTTAACCTGAATATATTGATTGCTTGATAATCGGTTGGTGCTCAAAGGTGCTCCGAGGCTCTGGTTTGAAAGGCAGGACTATCTAGGTAGTGCTAACCACTGGGGAATTCAGCTGCAGAAATCACTCTTCATATGCAAATAGGTGTCTGAAGGGGTTTTTTAGAATAACGCAACACACCCTATTTGGAGCCTTTTTATTTGCATTTTACCACGTGCTAAAACCCCTAGGAAATAAACACTGCAGCCTCACAAGTTTGTTTTGAGATAACATGATGGGAAAAAGAAAAGGTGGCTCTCTTCCTTCTTCCTG